TCTATGTTATGAGGCATGCAATACTTCTCCCTTCTCTCCGCCAACCTCTTCTGGGTCATATTTGAGGGTATCTTGGACGCATCCCTCTCCTCCTTGTAATTTACGGGCTCCTCGGTCATAGCATAATGTTTGATTACGCCCAAAGAATAACGCGGTGAGTGTAATACAGCTTTGGGGTATCGTATCCACAGGGAGATGGAAAAATTCTCAAAAGATCAAACAAACTAGGGTTTTCGTAATTAAATGTGGGAATGATTTGTCACTTGAAATAAAAATTAATTATCAATATGCGAATTAGTGAAGCGTCGGAGTTCCCCCATTGGATTGGATCAATCAACATCAATAATTCATGTATTTTTACTCAATTAGAGGTTTTCTTCCCAACTCTCTAATTGGAAGATTTAACAGTGAAGTCCAATTTTATTCCAATTATGTTTCTAGAATCTAGATTTTCTATAACACATTCGTACATTTTTATTGGAACAAGATCAAAAATCGACCATATACGTCAGGCATAAGGCAGTAATCAATCCGCCAATAAAGTGATATTAAGATTAAAATTCAACAATTATTTAATTCATTTGATAGAAAGAGCATGGCTAGATCTATGAAGGATTTGATAAAAGTTAAAATAATCTCAATCATAAGTAATTTAAATTGAAACTCAACAAATAGTTTAATTTAACAATGGAAAAAGCATGACTGAATCCATGAGAAATTTATTAAAAGTTAAACAAATTTCAATACTAATTCATAACGAGAAAATCCAAATCTAGAAATTATTAGGCAAAGAGAGTTCGAATTACATGAAATTATGACGTGAAATCTCCAAATCCAATGAGTTCTTTCGTTGCTTCACCGAGTTCCTTAGTTTTCCATGGAGTTTCTTGAGCACCAAGATGAAAGAAATAGGTCTGGGGGCGTCTCCCTTCATTCTGGGTGGTTTTGGGCATTTATATCCCGTGAAAATTAGGTTACCATAAGAGATTCAATCGTATAAGGAAACTGAGATTCAGCCGCCAAAAAAATACTATGCGACCGCATGGTTATTGTCATTGTGGTCACATGGTTATGCACTTTCAGCCTCTTCAATTCTCGGTATAGGTGTGTGCGACCGCATAGTAGAAAGGCATGCGGGCGCATAGTTCCGCCAGACAGCTTTCAATGTTTTAATCATAACTTTCTTTCCTGATGTCCAATTGAGGTGATTCAAGTTGCATTGGATAGCTAACTCAAAGGGCCACAATTTTTATTCAGAAGTCATCTCCCAATTCGATCATCTTACATGTCAAAAATGGGTCCCAACATGAGACTAAAAACTGGTGTGTTGGTTTTCGATTGGAAATTGATGTATTGATCAAACTTTGATGTTATTTCATCCCTTTGACTTCGTTCCTCATCCACTTGACCTCTAATACTTTTGAATCTTCATCATAATCTTGGGCACAAGTTTGGATCATTTGCACTTTAGTCCTCGAACTTTCGTTCTCTTCTACTTTGGTCATTTTTCACTTGTTTCTTCCGAATTTCATCTTTTTCACCAAAATACAACCTAAACCAAAATATAAGAGTAATGAGTGCATTTTGGCATAATATAATCACATGAATGCAATAGTTAAGAGGGGAAAATATGGTATTTTACACTCTTATCAATGTTTGACCTCGAAGTCCCCCTACGAACTGTCCCCCCCCAAACGATGCGACAGCGACTACCCCTACCCATAGTGGACTCCATATCAGAATATGTTTGGAAAATGGACAAAGATCACAAAACAAGTTATTTTTGCAAGAAATACCTACGCAATCGACTAACGAAACTAAATGATACCGAAAAACAGGAACGGAGCAAAACTTCAACGCCAGAGTATGATATTTTCAACAAACACAAAGAATTGCAGAGATAGAAAGGTCACAAAATGGGAGTTACCTGCTTTTATACAAGTTCAGGTCGAACACCAGCCATCAGAACAAAGCTCATCGAATCTGGGCCCTTTATTGTAAATCGAATCCGAGGCGTAGAATTCAAATCGTTTTCAAAATCAACCCCTCCGATCCAAACGTTCTCCCCACGCACCTCTCCAAATGCGTGTCCTTCTAGAAGCCCAGCTGTAGCCATCATTGCACATTCAATGCAGCAGCCATACGTGCCTTGGAAGTCGAAACGGCTCGATCGCCTTTTTTTGTAACATGCACAAAATATCAAATCATTGGCACAAACATCGAAGACAATCATCTCTTCGCAAGCCTCGACAGGTTCGATCGACCTCGCCGCCTCAGCTTCTTCAAGTTCAGCCACATCTTCACAAGCCTCGGTAGGTTCGATCCACCTCGCCGCCTCAGCTTCTTCATCTACTTCTTCACAGTTCAGCCACATCTTCGCAAGCCTCGACAGGTTCGATCCACCTCACTGCCTCAGCTTCTTTATTTGATTCTTCGCAGTTCAGCCACATCTTCACAAACCTCGGCAGGTTCGATCCACGTCACCGCCTCAACTTCTTCATTTGCTTCTTCGCAGTTCAGCGACATCTTCGTAAACCTCGACAGGTTCGATCTACCTCATTGCCTCGACTTCTTTATATGCTTCTTCACAGTTCAGCCACATCTTCGCAAGCCTCAGCAAGTTCGATCCACTTCATCGCCTCGGCTTCTTCATCTACTTCTTCGCAGTTTAGCCACATCTTCGCAAGCCCCGACAGGTTCGAGACTCCTTCATCACCTTCCCCAATCACAGCAACACCACCACTTTCAACTCCAACCATGACAAAAATATCCATACTTGGACTTGGGGACTATTAGTTAAGGTAAAAAAATAAAAATAAAAATCTCAATTTTTATCCCACACTCTTCACCATAATAAAAGCCCACGCATAACATAAATGATCATACTTGGACTTGGGAGACTATTGTTACATGTTGACACACTTAACCGACCCACTGGGGCCCATGGCCCACTTTTTCAGAACCGCTTGGCATCTTGTCCGAGGTCCAATGGCCCCCATGCCAGCAGAAGTTCACCAGCATACTATAACAATGCCAGACATGGTCCAGGTGCTACCGTCGAAGCTAATATGCCGAGGAGATCTTGTAGCCGAGGCCCTTCCCCTCTGAAGTCCTAAGGCTCTAAGCAGAGCTCCTCCCCAGAGATCCGGTCTTATACAAGGATCATTCCTAAGTGATTGATGAGACACCCATCATAGAGTACAAGTGCCTTGTCTTATCAATGTAGTGGAGGAGCCGTCAATTAATAAATGTGTAGCAGGATGGGAAGTCAAGTATGATGCCTATAATTTGACATGTAAACTTACGAGATGAGGCCGCGTGTACTCCCAACCAAGGGCTACGATCTAAGTTGTAATACTATAAATACTCCCTCATGTATCTCTCAAAGGGGTAATGCAAGATTCAACACAAGAACAAATAAAACATTCTTTACATTTTACTCTCTTGTAACACACGAATTCATAAGCGCATTCTACAAACATCGATTGATAATTATTGTACAATCGTTATGCAAACATCTCGTCGGATTCCGAACGTTCTCGTCCTGCGCCTTTGAGTCACTCCCACCTTCCCTTTTGCTATTATTTCTAGATCGCCCACGTGTCTTAGCGTGTTGGATTAAGCTTACGTATGCGCAGGTGGATCCGGTATCTGTTGGCAACATATTCTGGGGTCAACGTCTGGTATCCGTTAAAGAAATATTTCATTATAGTAATTATTAGTTTGTGTTTGGCAAAGCTTAGACTATAATTTATGCTGATCAAAAACTTGGAATGGTTAATGCTTAAGAAAAAGCACCAAATATGTGATTTATTTTTATGTGGGCCCACCTATATTCAATATAAGCCACACAATTGGAGCTTATTTTTTAGCATAAGCAACATAGACATGCTAACATTTTTTATTCGCACATTTCGTCAGACTTACAATTACTCATTTGTTATTCACATATTTTATAGAATTTACAACTTATAATCATTTAAATTTTAATTTAAACACTTCCAAACATGTTCACATTTGGACATATATAATTATGCCCTTATTTGACAATCATTACAACAAAACTCTTTATTCTCAAACTCATTTTCAACTACACATTCTCACTAAGATATTCCAAAACTTTTCCCTACTTTTTAACCATACATTCTTCAAAAAATCACTATTTCAAAACTCATTTTCCCCAAAACACTCATTAAAATGGTTGTCAAACTAGGGTTATATATATAAAGTTATGCAGCAGTAGCATAAAATTAACATAGGTTAACTCGATCCCTACTTGACCAACTAGATCTTCAACTCGACTGTGTATGGTTATCTCTTTCCTTTCTCTCTAATTTTCATTTTCTCTCGAGATTTCCTAATTTTTATATAACTTTGTGGGGACTATGTATATGAACTTTCAGGAAATAACAATGATCCCTACTAGACCAACTTGATCTTCAACTCGACTGTGTATGGTTATCTCTTTCTTTTCTCTCAATCCTCATTTTCTCTCGAGATTTCCTAATTTTTATATAACTTTGTGGGGACTATGTATATGAACTTTCAGGAAATAACAATGTTGGATGGTTCACAACTCCACACAGTTGTACTAAAGCCAATCCTAATCTTTCCTTACAACCTTTGCAGTTGTCATCACGAGAATAGAACATGATACTCAACTACTAACTCCACCTTTTTCTCTTACTCAAAATCTGGTCTTTCTTGTGGACACAATTTGTCAGTCAATAATTATAAGTGAATTACCATCCTATTGTCAAATTAAAATTACATGCAAAATTGACACACTTTTATCCAAAAACGATAAACTTTTACCAGAGAAAAGGATGGTTATTCACCGAACCAATAACTCAAGATTCGAAAATATAGTTCGATGAATTCTTGGATTTATGATTTTGGAATTATTCAAGCCAACTCTGCTTTTTTCAAGTTTTCGTTTATTCATTAATATTTAAGATTAATTTAGATAAAAATGTCCAACCATAAATTGACTACTTGAAACTTCGAACTTTCATTTCTCTCCCATCAACTCAAACTCACATGCACTTCAATAAAGATCTTAGTGAACTTCATAAACTGTTCTTTTTACAACACAACTTTATTGGACTTCAGATCTGAATCTACTTCATTTCGCGCAATTATAAGATATGGGTTGTGCTGGATCCTCGCAGATGAAAGGCGAGACATGTGACTCCATAAAATTTTTATGTTTTCTTTGTATTCCAAATCTTTGGTCTTTTGCATTTGATGATCACCACAAATCATATATTGATCTTGGTCACGATAATTGCGTCAAATCTGTTTATTTTGACCTCAACATGTAAAACACGAACTCATTAGGTATGATTTACTCACAAATGCTTGGGATTCACTGTTTCTTGCTGTCGAATTTTTGTATTAGCCAATGCCGTATGGACTATAAATGAAGCAAATTTGAAGAACTTATAAATTTTTTTTTGCTTTAGGATATTGATTGATAGCTTAGATATGGAGCATCTACAAAAAATTGATTGCTCTATTTCTGAGTCTCTTAGCATTGGTACTGATAATGTACTATTTTGCACTTGAGTTTTACAGGAAACGTAAAAAAGATTAGAAAACCAAAACCATGGAAGCATCCTCAGCTTATAACAAAGAGTCAACTCATACAGCTACGAGAAGAGTTTTGGGACACTGCTCCTCACTATGGTGGTCGGATAGGTAAGTTTAAATATGATGAACAAAATGCAATATTGAAAAACACCGAAAGAATAAGTCCTCCGAAGAACTAAACCTTGAACCTCTACTATAATTATTGAAAGTCTGACCAATGTGGCATCTATTGTTTTTGGCACTTAACTCAACAAAATAATATATATTACATTTATTAGGTTTAATAAAATTATAAAGATTCAAAATCATGCTCTTCCTTTAAATTATACGATACTTGACAACAATGTCATTTGATGAATATATGATTTATTATTATAATACAATTATATATGTTCAATATGAACAAAATAATTGTTATGGTTAAATTTTAAGCCTTGTTTCATTTTCATTTTTTTTTTCAAAATACATTTTTATCTATCTTATTTTTAATCATAAAATTTTCAATAAAATAATATTACACGCAAATTCAAAACTTTTTTTCTTATTTTTGACCTCACGTTCTCCATGAAATCATTATTTCAAAATGTATTTTTTGTTAAAAAAAACACATTAAACAGGCTCTTAATACTTTATTGCGGCTGATAGTCGACAATCAACGACTGCCCATGCCGACTCAAAATCCTAGATTCGCCACTGACTAGAACATACTATCCTAGGACAATGCCAAGAATTTAGATTACATATTGTCCTATTATATGTTGGATGTGTGGAGTCTAATATATTGTTTCCTATTCATTAAATTTTTTAAGCCCCTATTTGATTTAGCAAAAAATAGTTGATAAAAATATAAGTCAAAGTTAAAAATAATTCTTGACCACACGATTCGTGGGATCCATAATTCTTAATTTCAAACACACATTTCATTAGCTTTTACCAAAATTTACTAAAAGTCTGATTTTTAGTTAAACCAAATAGTGGGTAAGTGTTACAGGTACTAATTTACACGTGTTGTTAGGTTATCCCAATATTTTTTTCCACTACATAAAGGTTATTAGGACGAGCCTCCATTTGGTGTTTCATGGTAGAGATGAAAATAATACACTATACTTCTCTTCTTCAATACAGTGCGATTCGAGAGTAAAGGGTGAAGCATGTTATTCTTGCATTTATTTATTTTTTTATCTTAGCTTATCAATTGATATCTATAATATGTAGTCGTTTAATCCATAACAACACAATGTACATGGTACTCTTTTATAGGCGGCTGAGGTGCTGAACCATATAAATTTCTCATGTTTATTATATTTTGCTTAAAACTCAATTTGCTTCGTCTGCACAACATTTAATTATGAGGAAAATCTTAGATTGCAATCTGCATTTGTACCAGAAATTTGGGATGCACTTCGTGCAGCAGCTGAAGCTGATCCAAGTCTTGCACAAACAATTGTGAACGATGCTAGGATCACAGTCCAGAATACAGATTTAACAGTTTGTTACGATGAAAGAGGTACATAACTAAGTTCACAATTCACTACTACTTCTCTTTTTTTGCCCCTTTTAGTGCAAATGTCGGGTATGGAGTGTATTTTTACCCCTAAACGCCTTTATCGTAGGTACAAGATATGAATTGCCGAAGTATGTTTTGAGTGAGCCAAAGAACTTGATTCAAGATAGTTGAAATCACATGATTGTTACTCCATGTATTTTGCCCAATTTGAAGCAAAATTGTGTATATCATTCCCTTGATATATTTTAGTCGATTGTCATGTTAGAAACAATACACCAAAGAGAAATGTTTATGTTGTTCTTATATTAGTAAATTACGAAGAGAATGACTCACTTAAAGTGATACAAACACGTTAATATTTTGTTATAGAACAAATATTGGAGACCCGCTAAGAGATTCCACATGGATAACTATCTGAGTGTCAGTGGCTAATCTCTAACATTCGGTAGTGGAATTGGTCCTTTGACTTGAGGTCGTCATGATACCTTATGAAAATAATACACTATACTTCTCTTCTTCAATACAGTGCGATTCGAGAGTAAAGGGTGAAGCATGTTATTCTTGCATTTATTTATTTTTTTATCTTAGCTTATCAATTGATATCTATAATATGTAGTCGTTTAATCCATAACAACACAATGTACATGGTACTCTTTTAAAGGTTGTGATTGATCAATAAAGGATTCGTCACTCTTAGATAGTAGGAGATTATGATCTGCGTTTCATTCAATTAAGTAAATGATGAAATCCTTGGCCAAGGTGTACTCATAAGTCGAAAAGGAGTTTTCGATTTATATTGACTTAATAGTGGAGTGAAAGATATGATCAATGATCGGGATTGACACAATTCCATATCTCGTAATTGATCGGATCGTATTGACGAAGGGATAATAGTTTCACGGTAAACGAACAAATTTGGTTTTGTCATACCACGTGACATTTTCCGTCACATGTATTGCCCTGATACATTGTTAGATGTCAATCAGAGACGGCGAATGTGAATTGACGATAAATTAAAAGGGTGTATTAATTTATCAATTTTGATTAAATCAAAATAATATTTCACGACGTTAGGCATCGTGGTCGGGAACCTAATGGGTCGCACACAAAAGAGAATTGGAAGACTGAAAATTGTCAATTGATTAATTTAACAATCGTTGGATAAATTATTTAATTGAATTTGTTATTTATAATCCTGAATTAATTAATTGGATTAATTAATTCACGGACCGGGTTTGATTAATTGGATTAATTAAATATTGGATCGGACCGGACCGGATCCGTTTGGGTTTATATATATACACAGCTAGGGTTTGAGGTCCATAAGGTATTCATTATTCTTGTTGGCACAAGAAAAAAACCCTAGCAGTTGCAATCTACTCTCTGTGTGGATTTCATTGGAGGCTGGACAATTGGACAGCTGTGGGAGGCAGATTCAAGCTGCTGGAAAGGAATAACGCGAAGGAGTTTGCAAATCACAAGTAAAGGTATATTTCTTATCACAGTTTTTATCTAAATACAAAGTTGAATCCTGAATGGAAATTGAAACTTGTTAAATTCCGCTGTGCATATTTAAGTAAATTCCCAACAGATTGAAGTGATAATAGAGTGAGAATTGCATAGCTGCAACATTCTATAAATGTAATATCTCCTTTATTTCTAAGAAATTCATGGTCATTATCGATAGACTTACAACCTATTTATGTCATGGTTGTTAAAATTCAGCAGACAAGAGTTAATATATTTTGGATGAAATTTCTACATATTTCAATGTATGTAGTTAATTACTATCTTATCATTTTAGATTCTTGGTGAACTTTCTTGCATCATAAATTTATGACACAACTTATAACATGTTTGGCCGCATTTAAAAATAAGTAAAAGTTGCTTTTAATGTTTAAATATTTATAAAAAGTTAATATTAATCTTTTTCTAAATTTTAAGTAGGGATGATAAAATGACGGGTGGATGAGATGAGATGGGGCTAGGGATTAACATTTTCGACTTCACCATCAAGAATTCAGGATATGGGGTTGGGACAAGGGAGTGAGGCACGATGAAGATTAAAATATTCTCATTTATAATTCTGTTTTTTGTTTATTATTTATGTGTTAATATGATTTCAATTGTAAAATATAAAAATAAAATGAATTCAAAAGATTTGAGGAGGAAATTATTCGTCTTGATAATTTACCATTTTCAAATTTGATGGAAAGAAAAATTACTTCTTTTTTTGAAACCAAAAAATTACTTTCAAGTATGAATAGTGTGCATAGTTGGGGTGGCAACCAGCCCTCGCATAAAAGAAAGTTGAATTACTTTTACTTCCTCTTCGTCAATTGCAAGAGGAACAATATCATCAGGCCAATCAAGGTTACAATTGAATTCTGGGTACTGTTGAATACAGTCTGATTCCACAAGGTTTAATCAATTCTTAAACCTATTTCATTAATTTTTCGCATTCTAGATGGTAGGTTTTATCTTTTAGACTTCATATTTGATTTTGTTTCATTATGAGCTGCCATTGATATTCAATTTGGATAAACAGCATACAAGAATTCATCTATAATTTTATTTTTCGAAGGCAGCAGTATTGTCTAGAATCAGAGCATCAGCTGTTTGTATTTTTGCCTCACAGTCAAAAGCTTATCTTTCCCCCTGTAAAAGTAAACTTCTAGTTTTTCTTTAGGAAAGCAGGAAATATTTTGCTTGATCAGTTTGTTTCCGGCGAAACCATCTTTCTCTATCCCCTTTCTCTATACAGATCTTTGTCTTTGTTGATATTTGTTCATCAACTAATAAAACTTCATTTTTTTATTTTTTATTTTTCATTTGCAGATACTAGCAATATCTTATGTATCGATGAATGATATATGTACTATTTTTGAATTACTAATACCATTTTTTTCAAAATAATAGAGGTAGTTGATATTGTTAAATGAAAAATTATAATTGAGTGTGTGTTTGTGTGTGTGTCTATATATATATATATATATATGATTACAATAATACTTCTTTCTACACAATATATTTTTTTTAGTGATCGAATATTCCAACTGATATATCAAGACAACATTTAGCACATTTGTTACCTCATTAATATATTAATGCAACCTTTCAATTTTGTAAACTCTATTAAATAATAACCTAATAAATGGATTATAATGTAAATCATGTAGATTAATAAGAGTTTTGTTGATGAAAAATAAAATTTGCTTTGTAAATTAAAAATAAAAACTCAATGGATGAATTATAATGCAAATCATGAAAATTAATAAGGGTTTTGTTGATGAAAAATAAAATATTACTTTGCTAATGAAAAATAAAAATTGTAAGAGCAAAATACTCAATTGAATGATAAGTCACTAAATTTTCGTTATTATTATTATTATTTTTTTTTAATAATTGATTGTTAGTTTCATCCTTAAATTAATTCCAACCCAAATGATAAATATCAATTAAATATTTCACCACTTATGTTGATTCTAAATCAAATGATAAATATTAATTAAATTGGTAATAAGGGCTTTGTTGATGAAAAATTAAAAATTGTAAAAGAAAAAAAATTTGAATGTTAGTCATTGAATTTCAGTGTGTAATTTCTTTTTTATTCATTAAATATCCTATTAATATATTAATGCAACTTTAAAATATTTGTAAGCTCAATTAAATAATAACTTAAAGGATTAATTATAATGTAAAGCATGAAAATTAAAAATTGCTTTGCTGATGAAAAATAAAAACTCATTGCATGAATTATGATGTAAATCATTTTTAAGATTTTATAATCAATTTTATCATTAGTTCACATGAACTTGTCGGGTTCAATTTAATATTTTGGAAAATTTTGAACTAACGGGTCAACTCGGCAGCCAACGCAAGTAATTTTCGTAAAGTCTTGATCAAATATTTGAAAGAAAATTAAAATATGTTACAAATAGTTTCTTTCTAAAAAAAAAATTTGACTAAATAAAACATTAAAAAAATGCACTTAGCATACCAATATATCAAGACAAGACATCAATTAATAAAAAACTTGACCAAATTAGTTAAAAATTTAAAATTATGTGTGTATTTGAACGTACAAATAAATAATGTTATTAAACCTAATCAGAAATTAAAGAAAGGCCTAAAGCCGGAAGTGACCCAAAAAAAAAAAAACAAAAAAAAATTTACATTCCAAAACGAATCTCAATGTTGTATATTGACATTTCACGAACTACTTTCAAATGGATCAAATATTGACATCAGATAAATCTCTTGTGCCAGAAAGACTCTAGGATACAAGAACACAATTGAAATTAGCAATGAGACTAATGATCACTGAAAGTCAAAAAGGAATACACCAGAAGAAATCATTTCAAAATTAGGAAGCTTTTGATACCGCAAGTGAGTCATCAGATATAGTCAATGATCCAACGCTCTTGATTCCGTTAAGCAGTCTTCTGCTACAGCCACTAACTTCATCCTCTATTTCTTCGTAGTTATAAACGTCAACGGATGCATTGGCCAGTGAACATGTAGATACTAGAAGATTAACTGAGAAGTTACTTATACAATTCAAGTAAAAAGATTTAAAGCACGAACTACCATCACACACTCGAGTAAATCCTCGAGATCTGAACACTGCTTAAAAATCAGGCATCTAAAATTGGGAACCGAGATGCTGAGATGTATAGTGCTTTCCCATACACAATTCACCAACACCAGGTTTCGAAGCACCGGGAAGCTTGCAGGGGTGAATCTAGGAGTTTGAATCAGCATAGGCGACCGTTGACCATTTGCCATAGGCCGCAATAAAATATTAAGAGTTCGTTTGATATCCATTTTTTGTAAAAAAATGCATTTTGCAATAGCGATTTAATGGAAAATGTGTGACTAAAAACAAATAAAAGTTTTAAATTTGTGTGTAATATTATCTTATTGAAAAACGTGTGAATGAAAAGAAGAGAGAAAAAAATATATTTTGAATAACAAAAGAATCGAACAAAACTTAAAATTTAAATATAACAATTATTTTGTTCAAATTGAACATATATAATTTTGTTATAAAAAATAAAAATAAATAATAGGATTCATCAAATGACATTATTGCTAAATTTTGTATAATTAAAAGGAAGAGCATAGATTCGGATCTTTATACTTGCATTAAAACCTAACAAATATTATTTTGGTAAGATGAAAAGCACAATCCAAGGCATACCATAGTGGTTGAGTATATAACAATTCTTGTAAAAGGTCGTAGGTTGGAAACGCTTTGACCCACATCCTTATTGAATTTTGGCAAAAATTGTAGAAAAAGA